AGGCAGAACATCCAAAATGGTATAGTTGTAGTTAATGCTCTTATGGGTGCAATTTCGATCATCCTAAACCTTACATCTTAAAGATGTTCAAATCTGAATCGTATTTATTTATCGTAAAAGTATTCTATCGCGTAATAGGAATAATAATAAATGATTTCCAGCGTGAAAGATCATCTATATTATGTACCATAGGAGATGAAAGCATCTTTTACGTATGCAATATATGTTGACGTAATGGCCAGAGATAAAATTCAGTTCAAGGACTCAACGTCTTTTCTGGCGGTTCTTAAAAGATAAGGAATGGATTCTGAACGCGTTGATGGTATTGCGGAAATTGAAAAAGGTGTGTTGGACTGGTCTAACGGTGGTGCTAACATCAATGGTCATCTTATTCCACTTGTCAACGAATAACTGTCTCAAAGTGGCGCTAATCGGGTTAAGGGTCAAATAGAAATTAATGGTTGGGACCATCCTGATGTATCAATGAATACTCCAAGCCAGTTTGGGACCATTGCATTACCATGTGAAAACGCCCTGTCGTTGACTACACCACTAGTCGTGGAAAAACTCAGGGTTTGTTTCTACCATGATGAAGTGTAATTTACAGACAAATCCACAATGATTGCACTCTACGTCAAGTATGTTCTACCAAAACTGATTTAACAATATAGTTTCAAGCGAACTTGGCACTAAGTTCTCAGAACGCACAATTGCTGGAGACTTAAATATTCTCCAAGTAAATGCTAATTGTACCAGTAACAATGTAATTGGTTATAGACGCGTGAGTGTATTGCAGTTGAAGACGGCATGCTTATCGAGTTTTTATACTTTACCATCATTTTATTAATATAAGAACTGTGATATATTATCAAAGTTAGACACGCGAAATAATAATCGAAGCGGAAAAAAACAACAGGGAGATTGCCAAGAAAACCATTTTACTCGTGAAATTCGGGGGGGGGAAGCGCAGTTTATTATTTCACACGTCGCTCACCGCTTACTCTAGCACACGTCGCTCACCGCTTACTCTAACACACGTCGCTCACTGCTTACTCTAGCACACGTCGCTCACCGCTTACTCTAGCAGATATTTGCTTCTCAAAATCGTTAATGCTTAAAATCATTTACGCTAGAATATTTTGATGTTTGAAAACAGTATAAAATTGTGCTTATAAAATGAAACGGATTTTACACCAACGTTTGCAACATCGTCTTTAACGAAATTGTCTGCACATACTGTTACAGCGTTTTTATTGCTTGCAAGGAGGTGTCGCTTGAAACATCGCTTGAACAAACTCTACAAAATCGTTTTCACAAGTCCATTTTAGCAAAATCTTTAATCGTTAGAATTGTTTTACTACCCAAGTTTTAGTCATACCGCATGCATAATAATACACTCGTGTAACGCATGCATAATAATGAACTCATGTAACACATGCATAATAATACACTCATGTAACGCATGCATAATAATACACTCATGTAACGCATGCATAATAATACACTCATGTAACGCATGCATAATAATACACTCATGTAACGCATGCATAATAATGCACTCGTGTAACGCATGCATAATAATACTCATGGAATGCATGCATAATATTACACTCATGTAATGCATGCATAATATTACACTCATGTAACGCATGCATAATAATACACTCATGTAACGCAGGAGTAAATATGTGTTAAGTTATGGGGCATAAAAGGGGTTGACTTAAATCAGTAACCGAAATATAAACCGCCCATTTTCATACTACTTATCCTTTCAACAAGCGACCAACACGTCTTATAAAAATAAGCCCAATGACAGAAAGTAATAATGGATGGGAAACTAGATTTTTTGTATTGTTTTAGCTATTGTTGTTTTTGGTTGTTCCATTGTTTGGTGTGTGTGTGTGTGTGTGTGTGTGTGTGTGTGTGTGTGTGTGTGTGTGTGTGTGTGTTCTTTTATGGGCAATCCTTACAGTATTAATTCGTGTCGTAGGTTGCCGTAGGTTACCGTGAATCGATAATTGTATTATTACGTTTGCAGAGGCAAGGAACCAATTAGAAACCCAAATTGCTCGATGTCACCCCATCGAGTCTTTCAACTTTCATTATGCAAAATATCTTGCTGCATAATGCTAATTTTGTTCGAGGACTAAATATTACAAGTTGACTGAACTGATAGATTTGTTCTCAAGATTCTGCAATATTGATTTTTAAGAAGTTCTTTGATGAATTTAAGGGTGAGCGAATTATATAACCCGAGTAAGCCCAATATTTTCACCTACCTATTATTAATATTCAGATATTAATTTATAACATTTCTATCTAGCCTACAAAATAGTTTGCAATATGAATTGCTCCTGTAATAAGCTTTTGATAAACGTGTATTCAACTGACTCTTAATAAATCTATTTACTGTGTTGTTCGTATAACATAGTGGATTCTTTTTACAACAGACTGTGAGGTTAGTTGATTAATATATATTAAATGTGCGGCCCGAGACTACTTAACCAAAACTCATGGGTTGCTCCACACACACACACACCGAAAAGTATTCTCCACCCCTGGTGTAGAGTCACGTCAGCTGTGTTGCCGCAAATTCAAAAGAAGAACTTGAAGCCTTAAATTGAAAAACAAAACCAGACCCTGATCTTCCTGTGCATTGAGTAAAGGAAGGTATTGATCTACTGCGGATGAGATTGATAAATGATCAAATACGATTAGTATGAAATGTACCGTCCAGGCAATAAATCCGTTTAAAAAAAACAAAAAACACTACAGTAATTGACCTGTTCGATGCATCTGGTTTGTCTATTCGAAAGTTTGCCCGGTTTTAAGCATTCAAGCAAAGACTTAGGAAAAAAAAAATAACCGGTCCAACACAGATGTGAAGTTTACATAACAAAGAATAAAAACAGTCTTGGATGTGCTGGGCCCAAGGCAGCATGCGATGAGCGCGTGGCCCCAAGCAAAAAAATTGCACTGCGGAGAAGTACGGGGACCAAGGCGGTTGCCTAGTTCGCCTTGCCATAGGGCCGGGCTGGGATGAAAAGCACATCCCCTATCTTGTAAGGAGGAGGGATAAATTTCGTCTGTAATTGTTGTGATTGCGTCGCAAGTGAGTGTATTTATTCATACAATCTTTATATACCTTTCTGGAGACTAAAATGACATTTAGAGACTTTATAAGCACTGCTTCTTCAAGAGATTATCTTATTGACAGAACTAGTTAATTCTCCAGAAATATCAAAAAATTGAGCTATGAGCTATCAAGGGATGGGCTATTATGTTTCATTGTAGTATATCAACTGTCTGGAGAGAAAGAAAAAAAAGAAATAGTACCGACTTAGACTGTCAAATGCCCCAGTGCTAGACATCACTATAAATTGCCACACTGCAGACATCGTAGTAATATGACTGAAAAATTGTTAAAGCTGCATTAAAATCCAAATCACACACACAAACACACACAAACACGCATACACACGGCGTGTGGAGATTTATAAAAAAATATATATTGTGACAACAGATCAATGCATGTGGTTCAAACGATATTTCTGGCTTATGTTTTGTTTCACTTTTTAGATTGAACCGATGGTTATTTCTAAATATAGATTCATACAAACATCTGCGTTTTAACACCGTCATTTACTACGAGGAGGAAGACCTAGTAGGCCCTATAAGCATTGAAAAAAGTATGGTGTAACCACTTCTCCACCCACCCACCCACCCACCCACCCACCCACCCACAAAAAAAGAGAAAAAAGAGAGTTTTAAGGTCATAATATACCAGTGTTGCCATCTTTCCAAATCGAAATACTCGTACATGCAGATCGAAATGATCATATATAATCAGGGCCGGATTTATCATTTTTCTTAGTTGTGCTTAAGCACAGGGACCTTGTTGGGTGGGGTGGGGTGGCAGGGACCTTGTTGGCGGGGTGGGGTGGGGTGGGGGCATCTTTTTGACAAAAAATAGTACGATGAATTTTTCATACGTCTGTGGCTATTTTAACTACCCCTAAATTTCCTGAGTATATATGCCTGACTACCTGTGTAGGCCTAACGGGCCAACCTCCATCAGGGCCCAAGAAAAGGGCCTCATAACTTAACTAGCACTGGGCCTCATTTGTCCTAAATCCGGCAATGTATACAATTCATTCTATTTTTATCATCAAATATTAAGTTGAATTTTTTTCTAACGCCTTTGTTGAGCTTATGCCCTAAGCACGTACTTACTGTGCTTAATGGGTCATCCGGCAAAGGAGTGGGGTGGGGTGAAATGGGGTGGGGAACCATATTGTGATAACCATGTCTTTTCATCCTTAATTCACAGACTTTGTACCAGCGCTAAAACTTTTGAATATTTTAGCAGATTAAAATTAAATCCTATATCAGTCTTTATATAAATAAGCAAAAGTCAATCAAGTTCGATTTTTTATTTTCCCTGTTTAAACTGATGTATATCTTATTGAACCAAAGTATTTCAGACATATCTGATTGAACTAAGGTATTTTAGATATATCTTATTGAACTATGATTTTTCAGGTATATCTTAATGCGGAAGCTATACGAGTCGTTTGTCAAAAAAAAAATGTCCAGAAATGTGTCCAACATTTTGAGATTAATCCCGTGCATGTTTAGGAAGAATGATAGTAGTTTCTGCATAGAAACCGAACGTCAGTTTTTATTCACCGCCAAGTTTGGAAGAAACCACATTTTTAAATTGCCAATTGTTTCTGTGTGTGTGTGTGTGTGTGTGTGTGTGTGTGTGTGTGTGTGTGTGTGATTTAAATTTTTAACGTAGCTTTAGAAATTTTTGGGTCATATTGCTACGATGTGTGGCAGTTTATAGTGATGTCTTAGCACTGGGGCATCGTGCCGCAGACGTGTAGCATGATGTCCCACCCAGTCACATTATCCTGAACCCAGGACGACCAGTCCTATCACAATGCTGAACGCCAAGCGAGGCAGCTGTTAGTACCATTTTTGTAACCCCTTTCGTATGACTCGGCCGGGGATCGAACCCACGACCTCCCGCATCCGAGACCGGACACTCTAACCACTAGGCCACCGGAGCGGTACCAATTGTTTCTAATGACAATTCTTGACATTCCTGACCGATATTTTCAAGAGATATTCACTTTTATCCGTTTTCAGAATTACGGTGTGCCTTGTGCATACGTTACCTTTCTTCATAAAACTTGCAATTGAGGCTAATACGAACGGAATGTCATATATAAAATAAGGGATTCAAAACAACAAGTTAATTACGAAGTTGACAAATCATATTTCTCAGATTTAAACTATAACTTGAAGATAAATTGGTTGAATCTGGGTGGGGTATGTGTGCTCGTTTATTGGTAAAGACGCAGGACTGCGTCATTGGGTAATAGACAAACCGTTGGAACAATGTGATGCTGTCAGTCAGTGAAAGTGGTGACTGGCACAATGTGGCAGACGACACAGATCAGAACACCGCAGCATGCGTACACAGTTCTATAACCAGAAGCCAAGCGGGGATTTGTTGCGTTAACTGTAGAGACTACATTCTGGACTACAGAAAGGTTAGCTTAATGTTTATTGGTAACATCTCTCTCTCTCTCTCTCTCTCTCTCTCTCTCTCTCTCTCTCTCTCTCTCTCTCTCTCTCTCTCTCTCTCTCTCTCTCTCTCTCTCTCTCTCTCTCTCTCTCTCTCTCTCTACTATACAGATAAACAGCAAATAGCATGAGGGTATTGAAAACCTGAACATCAAATGTCTATAAAATTGTTAAAACGCCAAAACAAGCCTATATAATTTATGATCTATAAATGTAAACGATAACTAAGTACACAAAAACAAAATATAATTATTATTATATTACATTATTAGATATTAAAACCGAAAGTCTTAATGGGTTCAGGCTGTGGCTACATGGTTCCCTGTCTGATAGGGCCTGTGTCTGTCTGTCTGTCTGTCTCTTTCTACATATATATATATATATATATATATATATATATATATATATATATATATATATATATATATATATATATATATATATATATATATATATATATATATATATATATATATATATATATATATATATATATGTCTGTCTCTTTCTATATATATATATATATATATATATATATATATATATATATATATATATATATATATATATATATATATATATATATATATTACAGGAGTAATCCGATAAGGGTTGAGTCAAAGTATTTGCAATTGATAATGGGTAAATGCATTATGAACAACATTATTCGCTTCTTCTTGATTTCTAAGTTCTTTTAAGGCCGAAAATGATACATATGTTTCTAATGGATCCTACAGATGGTACGAAAATTAATGCGATACTTTCTTGTCAAAAAGTGATTAGTAATAAATAAATAATAAAATAAATAAATAAAAATCAAAGAAATAAATAAAGCAAGAAATAAATAACAATGTAAACAAGCTAATAAATAAAGGAAAATTACACTGATTCACCATCGTTTATCTATGCTGTAACTGTATTTTGTGTTAGCTTGAATTAATTGCATAACCTAATCGTTTTTTTTTTTCAGTGCCTAATCATGAATTAGTTCTTACTGGAACATACAAAAGTTCAGTGTTGCTTTGGCAATATCATATTCATGTCAGAAAGTGATTAGTAATAAATAAATACATAAATAAATAAATAAATAAATAAATAAATAAATAAATAAATAAATAAAAAAAAAACAAAGCTATAAATAAAGCCAAAAATAAATAGCAATGTGAACAAGCTAATAAATAAAGAAAAATTACACTGATCAACCGTCGTTAATCAATGCTGTAACTGCATTTTGTGTTAGCCTGATTTAATTGTATAACAATCGTTTTATCAGTGCCTAATCATGAATTAGTTATTACGGGAACGTACAAAAGTTCAGTGTTGTTTTGGCAATATGATATGCAGGTCCGAATGGTGGTAAATCTGGCGTTTGTCGACAATTTAAAGATAAATTTTAAGCTTTTCAGGAAATACAACTGTCTAAAGTGAATATTTTAAGCTGATTATCAGTTAATGCTTCTACATTCTTCACCGAAATTAAACCGTAAAGAAAAAAATTCAAGGAAGTACGATATAACCGAGGACATCTCTATTTGTTTTCAATATTTCTGCTAAAATGATTTCATACGCATATTGTTATTTTTAATTATTAAAAATAACAGCTTTTGGAAAATTAGAAGTTAAAATCGGAACCCCACGACTTTTCTACACACATCTGTATAAATCAGCGAAACGTATTTCTGTAAATCAAAGAAAATGGTTGGTTTTACACGAAATTAATAAAAGAAAAACTGTCAAATAAGTAAAAGTACATTGTTGATGATTACATGGTTTTCTTTTGAGGGTAAATACAAATGTAACTAGAATTAACAGCTGTAATATAATGCACCTAATGTTCGTGCAATGATGAGATTTTACTTATTACAGTATCTATTACATAAGTCTATATAATGCATACTGAATGATAAAAGCAATGATAATTCGTGCATACCCACTAACTGATAATGACAATGAAATGGTAGCTGTTTCACTAATTACATATATGTATGCACGCAGAATGAAATTTACATCATTTGATATTGGCCTATTAACAATTATGTATCTTTACATTATAGTATACACATTTTATAAAATTAATTGTACCATTGGCTTTGCTTTTTGGTGTACATAATTTGTTAAATTTATACTTACCATTGGCTTTGCATTCTAGTGTAAACATTTTATAAAATTTACTTTCTGAAATACGGGTCCAGGGAACGAAATGTGTCCCCTGGAAACGGCATCGTGATGTCATAGTTTTACGCTCGCTCAAGCAGGCGACACAGAAGTCTTAACACTGTTGCCACCGCCGTCGCCGTCGAAACAAATAATACCAACCATGTCACGCCATTTAAAATCGAGACAGAATGCATTTTGAATTCAGATTTATACAACAATACAATATGCCCACCCCCATCCCTTTTCAGCTTTCCACGCCTTATCATAATGACCAGTAACTATTTCATTTACAATTTATTCTGACATTACTTACCAATTTTATTTCAACATTCAATAGTACTGCTGTATCAATGACCTAATCAGATAATTTAAGGACTAGCCATAATCTTTGTGCGTTCAATAAAGTAAAAATCGCACAAAGTTTTTAATTAAAAAAATAAATTGTTAAATCGTTAGAAATAACTTTTACCCCCTAATAAATACCAAATAAGAAAATAAATTAAAAATCTGCTAATTAGTCCAACCGGAAAACAAAGTAAATATCAGAATGCACAGAATGTAAATTGGAAAAAAAATATTTGGAAATGTGAGGGCTCAGACAGTCTCTCTCTCTCTCTCTCTCTCTCTCTCTCTCTCTCTCTCTCTCTCTCTCTCTCTCTCTCTCTCTCTCTCTCTCTCTCTCTCTCTCTCTCTCAACTTTTAGCTCTATATTCGAAATATGGAACATTCAAAGTTGTCTTAAGATGAAAATCCTAATTATATATCTATAAATCTCCTTATATCATGTGCTTTTTTTCTTTGTATAATGTGTAAACGTCTTTAATATGACATGCTTTTTGTCTTTGTATAATGTGTAAACGTCTTTAATATGACATGCTTTTTGTCTTTGTATACTGTGTAAACGTCTTTAATATGACATGCTTTTTGTCTTTGTATAATGTGTAAACGTCTTTAATATGATATGCTTTTTGTCTTTGTATAATGTGTAAACGTCTTTAATATGACATGCTTTTTGTCTTTGTATAATGTGTAAACGTCTTTAATATGACATGCTTTTTGTCTTGGTATAATGTGTAAACGTCTTTAATATGACATGCTTTTTGTCTTTGTATAATGTGTAAACGTCTTTAATATGACATGCTTTTTGTCTTTGTATAATATGTAAACGTCTTTAATATGACATGCTTTTTGTCTTTGTATAATGTGTAAACGTCTTTAATATGACATGCTTTTTGTCTTTGTATAATGTGTAAACGTCTTTAATATGACATGCTCTTTGTCTTTATCTGATGGGTAAACATCTTTATATGATTTACTTTTGTCATAATATTATGTACAAATTTCTTTATATATAGTGTTATTATCCTTATGTAGTAACATGGAAAACCATTTATTCGGCCATGAAAACCTTTTATTCGGTCATGAAAACCTTTTATTCGGTCATGAAAACCTTATATTTGGTCATGAAAAAAAGCTTTTCAAACTGGTCTGGGAATAAAAAGTCATCGCTAACTTTGTTCCATCTAAGTATGGCAACACACACCAAACTAACCTCAACCCACAAGATGAATCTAGCCAGTGAAGCAGTCCCTTCTTTTGTATTTTGTTTTTAAATTAACTAATTAAATTTAAATATTAAATATGCCAAATGGTTTACTAAATTCCTACATAACGGCATTGCGTAGCGTGTCCCAAAGTCGACTGACAGGAGAATGAGAAGTAAAATTTTCAAGAATACCTCACACACTTGGCAGCTCATATTGGCACCCTTCCACAAATTTAAATTTACTTGATTATGCTTACTTTACTGTCTTTATCCTGGTGGAATCAAACTCTGACAGCAACAAATGGACGCATTTTCGTGTTCCGTTCAGCTGGTTGAAATGCCAAAATCTAATTAGGCTGAAGAATGTTTCTTTAATGAAACGAAAAACAAAATATACTAAATTCGAAGAAAGTTTTTAGATAGCTTCATTTATTTCAAGATAATTACAAGTTGATTATAGCCAATCATTCAAGTAGAGATGATTGTAATATATTAATAATAATATCTCCAAGTTAGATGCACGATTACTATCAGTAATAATGTGGCTCTATAAAACTATCGGACAAATGATTATTATCAGTAATAATGCGTCTTTATTAAATCATCGGACAACGATTACTATCAGTAATATGCGTCCCGATTAGATCATCGGACATACGATTACTATCAGTAATAACGTGTCCCTATTAAAACATCGGTCAAATGGTTAGTATCAGTAATAATATGTCTCTGTTAAATCATCGGACAAACAATTACTATCAGTAATAATGTGTCCC